ACCTCGCTCAAAAGCTAAATTGTGGTTAGTAAATTAAAAAGAGATGGATAATATGTATTCGGGAAAAATATTGCTTAGATGGAAATTAGTTAGAGGCCCAGTACGTTGGGTATTGTTCAATCAATAATCTTACTTATTATAAAACGCAGATTGTGTGTGTGTGTGTGTGTGTGTGTGTGTCTGTACGTTTATATATGGGATCGTATTTCCTACATTTTTCAACCGATTTCAACAAAACTTCACAGGACTACGTAAAATTACCTGGCGGTGGTTCTGACAACGCCAAAAATGGGAAAAACACAATTGTTTTTGCATGAAATTAATTTGAAAAAACGATTAAGAGGTATTAATGAAAGGAGGACAACTCATATCGTTATACTTATTATAAAACACTGGTTGGTTGTTTGTGCGTGTGTGTGTGTTCGTTTATATATGGGATCGGATTTCCTACATTTTTCAACCGATTTCAACAAAAATTCACTTATTTTTTGGCAGGTAGTGTTTCTTATTGTCTTGCACACTTTTCTCTTTATTTTTACATTCAGAATGCTTTAAAAATTCCATTTACAATGCAATTGTTTATAATAAAATTCTATTCAATCGGGAGACTCATAACGATTGTAAACAATGTTTTTGTTTGAGTTTGGGCTTGACCAATTCGTAAAAAAAAAAAAAAAAAAAAAAACTAATTAAGACATGCGTGTCCGTCAACCTTAAACAATAATCTTTGTCAATTTTATTTTTCAGTCTTTATGATGGTCGATACTTGATCTATCTCTAACTGTTAAGTCCACGCGCAACGCCGGTATCTACTGCTAGTTAAGAATAAAATTGCTGAATTCAATAAAGTTAAACCTGCTAGATGCCCTGAATTCCTACACCTTCCTTGGCTGGGTAATATCAGTGATAGATATGCTAGGCAGGTTTCCGTAGCGGTTCGACATTGTTACATTGCCGCTAACACTCGTGTGGTCTTTTCTGCCAAGCCTGCTTTTCCGTCCATGCGTAAGGACGTTCTCCCTCCACATCACAATAGTTCTTTAATTTATTCCTTTAAATGTAGTTGTGGTTCGCCCTACATAGGGAGAACGACTCAAAGGCTGGATGTCAGAATAAAGAAACACGTTCCAAAGAAAATCCGCACTGTTAAGTACTCTCCTTCAGACATTCTGACCAATATATACGGGTCTTCCATAGCAGAACACCTAATAAATAGCCATAATTGTGCTACTAGTTTCAGTGTGAACTCATTTACTATTCTTAGTAAGTCCCTCTCGAATTACCACCTGAAAATGTTGAAGACCATTTATATTTTATCGTTGAAGCCATCTCTGTGTAAACAGAAGGACTTCGTACTGGGCCTCCAACTAATTTCCATCTAGGCAATATTCATCACCTCCAATACATATTGTCCGTCTCTTTTTAGTGATAATTTTATTTAATTTATTAACCTCGATTTAGCTCTGTTCAGCGAGGTTCGAAACCGGTTAACTAGCCGTTTTCCAGTTTTACTTTTTATCTATTATCATAATAGCCGCAAGAATGGACGACCCACAATGCACAAGTGACCCATAAATAGTCGAGAAAAACACAACACTCGTGGCCTGACGATTGCGTCTAGCATTAAACAGCCTATTACCTCTGAGTGTTGACTTCAATGTTCACTTATATATATATATATATATATATATATATATATATATATATATATATATATATATATAGATAGATAGATAGATAATATTAGTGGTAAATACACACATATGCAAAATATATAGATATATATACATAGGTGCATACACATACATGTATATTTTTTGAATAAAAATTCCAAGAGGATAGAATCCAGCTAGAACTCAATGTCCAGGACAGAGTAAGGATATAATAAAAGGCTTAAACATTAATATTCCATCTGTTCCTAATTTTCCACACCATGTAACCCCTTTTATCTTAGTGACTTTATTGCCTTGCTATACTCAGTTATATATATATATATATATATATATATATATATATATATATATATATATATATATATATGTTACGCAACATAGAATCCAAAATTACCTCATGGGTATAGTCTATTTCAACCGACGCTGTGTACGTCAGTCTCATTCAACCCAGACGGATGGACTTTATTCGTGTCGGAACTAGAGATATAAAATTTTAAATTTTACAAAGACAGCAGCTGAAAAAATCATACAGACTCTATCCATGTCGACGCCTAGGCAGGAAACACTGACCGCGTCAGTGGTAAGGAGGGGGAGGAAGTTATCTGTCTTAAAAGGAAAGACACTCCACAAATTCAACCCAGATATTAACCATGGGGTTATCAGAAAGATGAAGCGTTACACACATATATATCCGTCGTCGGCATTCGTCTGTCACGAGAGACGATGGAGTAACGCGGTGCGCTACGAGCCTAGGCGGGATATATGGAGAACTAGGGCTGCCCAGACGCCTAGTTCCCCCGTGTGGGCCTTGCTAGCAGAGTCCAAAGAAGAGGATAAACCAATACAGTTTGGTACCAACGTGGCTGCAGGAGTTACCGGAAGGTAGCACAAAGTGCCGTCCATCCGCCTTAGGGGCTCCACTCTGGGTTTGAATTCAGAGTTGTCCTTCTATACTAGTTGCCATCCAAGGCTATAGAACCCAGTCTGTCCTGCTATTTACCCATAGCTGGAAGGAGAAGAAGATTCACACCTTTCCCAAGGGTATTAGCACGTAAGTGAATGTAATGGATTCGACTGGATTTTGTGTGCTTCCTCACACACACACACACACACACACACACACACACACATATATATATATATATATATATGAATAAAAATGACGATAGGAAAACAATAGTATAAATAATAATAAACAATAGAAATAGTAACAGCAATTACCAGTTTTCCTATTGTCATTTTTATTCATAACGAAACATGTATAAAGATGGACTGCTGCCCCTAAATGCATGAGGGACTACTGTCTAAATATATATATATATATATATATATATATATATATATATATATATATATATATATATCTTTCTATTGCTCTACTGAGAAATTTAAATCAAATATATATATATATATATATATATATATATATATGAAAATTTCTCCGATATATATATATATATATATATGAAAATTTCTCCGATTTAACCAGTAGAGAAGACAATATATATATATATATATATATATTTATTTATTTAGGCAGTAGTCCCTCGTGCATTTAGGCAGCAGTCCATCTTTTTTATACATGTTTCGTTAAAGAAGCTTGAAAGTTAATACGATTAAGCTACTTATTTAATTTTTCTTGAGTCCGTACAAGTGTTTTCTTTTCTGGGCACAAAGTGTGCAAAAACTGTGCAAATATTCTGCATTTTCGAGTGCTTTTGGCTCTACTTTTAGCCATTATGAAGGATGATTTTATTTTTACTTTTTAACTGAATGTATGGGGTGTGTCATGGATGTATCGAGAGATGTTTTATTTTCCAAACGCGGATTTTATTTTGCAGGAGTAAAACCAAAATCATCCTTGATAATGGCTAAACGTTTAGTCGAAAGCGAATCGGAAATGCAGGCCATTTGGACAGTTTTGCACCCTTTCTGCCCAGAAAAGAAAGCACTCGTATGAACAAAAGAAAAAGAAAAAGCAATGAAGAAAGAAAGAAGCAAAGAAGAAAGGAAGAAAAAGAATAAGACAATGAATAAAGAAGGAAGGAAAGAAAGAAATAATAAAGGAAGAAAGAAAAGGAAAAATTCAGTGAAGAAAGAAATAATGAATGAAAGAAAGAAAGAAGAAATGGAAGAAGACGGAAAAGGAAAAATGCAATGAAAAAAGAAAACATGAAAGAAAGAAGGAAAGAAAGAAACAATTAAGGAAGAAGGAAAAGGAAAATGCGATGAAGAAAGAACGAATGAAAGAAAGAAAGAAGGAAAAAAGGCAATGAAGAAAGAAGGAAAGAATGAGTGAAAGAAAGAAAGAAGCAATGAAGAAAAAAGGAAAGAGTGAAAGAAAGAAAAAGCAATAAAGAAAGAAGGAAAGAAAGAAAGAAGGAAAGAAAGAAAGAGTGAAAGAAAGAAAGAAGCAATGAAGGAAGATGAAAAAGAAAAAAATATAATGAGGAAAGAAAAAAATGAAAGCAAACAAAAGCAATGAAAAAGAAGGAAACGAAAAATGAAGGAAGAAAGAAGAAAGGTGAAGACAGTTTCCACAAAAAGTCATCTAAAAAATCTCTACAAGCCTAATAGTGGCGAACATCTAACCAAAATCTCTTAAATCTTTTCAGTAATATAAGACATGATATATTTTTCTTAACATCTTTTGCATTAAGCTTCCATTCGGTCACAAGGCTTACACAATGTATATGATAGATAGATAGATAGAGACAGTAATATATATTTAGACAGACACACGTACACGCAAACAGATATATATATATATATATATATATCAGTGGTCAATATATATATATATATATATAAAATAAGTTAAACAACTAATATTCCATGCTTATAATTTATTACATTGAATCGCATTCACGATCCAATTCTGATGAATTGGAGCGTGAGTACGATTCCAATGTGATAAATTTTTAACCATGGAATATTAGTGTTTTAGCTTATTATATATATATATATATATATATATATATATATATATATATATATATATATTTATATATATATATATATATATATATATATATATATATAATTCTCCAGTCAAAGTTAGATTTGTCCGGTAAACGGTTATATAAAACAGTGCTGAATACAAAATGTAACAGCCAAAAAGCTGAATATGCAGAGCCATTAAAAACCTTACTGGTGGAAACCATGGTAGCATCTGTAGTGGTTAGTATTCCTTGACTTTTGACACGCACACACACACACATATATATATATATATATATATATATATATATATATATATATATATATATATATAGAGAGAGAGAGAGAGAGAGAGAGAGAGAGAGAATTCTTTTGAACTGGGATGAATTAGATAGATAGATAGATAGATAGATAGATAGATAGATAGATAGATAGATAGATAGATAGATAGATAGAATTAGACTGAAATACATAGATAGATTATTTTGGGAAGGTTGAATATATCACCCACCCACACACAGAACCCCACCCTCATATATATATATATATATATATATATATATATATATATAGAGAGAGAGAGAGAGAGAAGAGAGAGATTATTTTGAACTGGCTGAATTAGATAGATAGAAATAGACTGAAATACATGGATAGATTATTGTGGGAAGGTTGAATATATCACACACACACACACACACATATATATATATATATATCCTTTTCTCTCGTAAATACATCAGCATCGTAATGTCAAATAATGATTGATTTTTATAAGCATATACTCATATATATACATATATATATGTATATATATATATATATATATATATATATATATAGATAGATAGATAGATAGATAGATAGATAGATAGATATGATTTAAAAGGAAAGTAAGATGGACAGTGTGATAGATACAGTGGTTGATAGAAAAGGAAAATAGGTTAGAGGTTAATAGATAGGTACGGAGAAGGAAATTCGACAGAGAGAAAAGCAATTCGATTTGCTGAAATTACGCCATAAAAAAAGAAAAGAAGTAAGTTTTGAGTCGATAACAAAAGATAATGTTTGTGAAAGTGTTAAAATAATTAAAAAAAAGCGCCCATAAAAGCCTTTCGTGTGCCATCAAAATGTTATTCACTGGAAATTTCGACTCGTCGGAACTCGATATTCCGACGCATGCGCAAATTCTAACGAACGGCTTTGCAAACACAAAATAATAAAAACGCAATGTAAGATGGTTGAAAATAAAAGCGATACAGACAAAAAAACCAATAACTAAAAACAGTGTCGATAAAGAAACCTGTAGATAGCATATCGGGCTGAACATTCAACACATTTCGTTGTGAATACAAACTAAAAAAATGTGTTTTTACAAGTCATAATGAATGCAAAAGCGCCTCATTTTGTTTAGAAAGGCCAGTGACCTTGACTTGTAGATCATTAGATTCACTTGCGAATCTCTCTGACTTTGATTATGTAAATTATTTTCGCGCGAATTTTTGTCATCATATTCCATGCTTATAATTTGCTTATAATTTGCTTATAATTTGCTTGTGCTCATGACAACGTTTTAAGAACTGTGTTCTCTGGCCATAATACTTACGTGGCAACTGTCGGGTAATTTTTATTATCATCTCTCAGTTGCCTGTCTGCCTTTGAGCAGAGTCCGTCAGAGAAAAGAGGCGCAAATGAGGAAAATTACACTGTGAGGTGGCCCACCCTGGGAAGAAGATGACCATGGCTGCAATTTCTTATGCCGCTAGAAAGTAGAATCTGTCCTCGCACAGAGGCATTCGCAACTGACTGGGGCTCGGGGAATTTTTGTTCTTAGCCCGTGTGTACGCGTTCGGGTTCCCCACATTAAACCCGACCTTGTGTTACAACATGACTCAGTTGGGGGTGGAGGGCTTAAGTTAATCGCCTTACCAGGCATCTGCCAGGGAAATGACTAGCTAAGACTAGTTTTGTGATCGATCTTGCGCAAGCGGAGACTTGGTAAAAATGGACAAATATTTTAACCAGTGACCAGAGTGTACGCGCTCGGGTAACCCGACATTAAACAACTAACCTTGTATCGCATCCCCACATTAAACCCGACGTTGTGTCACAACATGACTCAGTGGTGGTCAAAAAAACACCATATCAAGCATCTGCCATGGAAATGACAAGCTAAGACTAGTTTTTTGATCGATCTTGCGCTAGCGGGGACTTGGTAAAAATGGACAAATATTTGGGTAGCGTGTACGCGCTCAGTTACCCCCACAATAAACAACTGAACGTGTGGCATCTCGTCTCTGTGGGGAGGCTTGGGTAAATATCCTTACCTGGACCCTGCCGTGTAGGGTTTATCATCTCGCAGGTTCGTCTCTGTCATCGGGCAGGGTGCTACTCAGTTGCAGTTCCCTCGGAAGAGAGAGACGCAACTGAGGAAAATCACACCGTGAGGTGCCCAGCCCTGTGGAACAGCTGCCTGAGGCTGCATCCTCTGATGGCACTAGAGAGAGAGGTCCGTGCTTGCCACTGAGGCCAGCGCAACCGACGGTTACGAGGGCTAGGGGAATTTTTGCCCTTGGCCCGAATATACACACTCGGGTTCTCCACACTAAACACAACCTTGTGTCGCATCTCGTCCCAGGGTAAATAAGTTTCAAATATTTTATGCCCAATCTCCGGTGAGGGTGCTTACTCCCACAGGCAGTACCTCTTCTTGAGTCGGTGTCTAGGTTTATTGCCAAGGCGTCCCCAAAAGGGTATGTATCGAGGCGGGGGGTTGCGCAATTTCACCACGGTATTGCCTTTAAACCCATTTTAAACCTCGACCTTGTGTCACATTCGGTAGCGACATGGGCGCGCTGAAAAGTACACACACATTACATGGTCCAGGGGTTACTTTTTGTGCGGCAAGTGAAGTGAACGCTTCTCCTCATTTTAGCTGTGAGAACGCGCTCGGCTCCAGAGATTCCATCCTAACGGCAGCACGTTCCTCATCGCACTAAAGAGGTAGGGTCGATGTACTATCTATGCCAGTGTGACAGTCGGTGCAGGGACTGCTCAGTATCAGGGATAGAGCATGTGTTAAAATAAACGTGGACACTAAATTTAACACCAAGCTTGAACAAAATTTTGCTTTCAAGTATGAAAAAGACTGTCAACATTTAATGTTACTCTCAGTGTCCACTATATATATATATATATATATATATATATATATATATATATGACTCTGTATGTATATATATATATATATATATATATATATATATATATATATATATATATATATATTCATTTGTTGATGTTAGTTTGTAGCGCTGGGATTCATGCTTTTGCTATTATCAGACAAACTATCGTAAAAGCGTGAAACCCAGCTATACAAACTCATATCTATACAACTGCATATAGCTCTGTCACAGATATTGAGCACTTTCAATTAAGTACCGCATATATATATATATATATATATATATATATATATATATATATATGTGTGTGTGTGTGTGTGTGTGTTCGTTTGAGTATATAATTTATTTATATATATATATGCATGATTTATATATATATATATATATATATATATATATATATATATATGACGTAAAATAAAATAGGATGAGAGTGTGAGCGGATCAAATATGGATTGGAATCCAACAGAATGATAAGATAAAAAACAAATGGGGGAAACATTTATCAATCTAACCTGTTTTGCTTTTATTAAAGCTTCATCAGAGACTGAGATATATAGATGTACAAATAAATTCTTGGATTTTTACTTTTATGTTGTTTGATTTACATTGGTCAGTTATGTATCAAAGTGACTAATTTATTTAATGAGGTCTTCAAACAGACATGAAGTTTTAAAAGATTCAATCCGATGAAAACAAAATCAATGATTCAATTCCACTCAATTTGAATAGTCACGTGGTCGCACATGATTCAGTTCTTTTCAGAAAATAAAAAAAATAAAAGAATTAAGAATACGCGAAACAATTGCATCTAGGAAAATATATTTAAGGAGCCAGGCTCATTCAGGACAGTCACTCTGATTTAAAAGAACCAATCCCGCTCAGAAAAAAAAGGACATTTTACCGGGTTAAATCGTGAATTTCCTATCATTGCAATGTCGGCTGCTAAGAAGATTGGTTCAATGTGTCTTTCACTTTTTATCTACGGAATCTATTTTACATGTAGATATGTAAAATAGATTCCGTATAAGTTTACCATTCTTCCGTGCTTAGAATATCGCTACTATATATGGTCTGGTGCTCCCGCTATTTATCTAGAGTTCCTTGATAAAATCCAAAGAAGAATCAGCAATATTATTGATCCTGACCTGGCGTCTTGGCTTCAGTCAATTTCTACTGCTGTACTGCATGTACCATTTTTATAAACACTTTCATGGTAATTGTTCGGATGAGCCCTTCGCTATGTTACCTAGATTTTATGAATATAATCACAGTACAAGACTGGCAACGAGGTCCCATCGACATACAGTTGAGTTGGCTCGATGTAACCGTAAGCTCTAGGCTGTTTATTTTCTCGCACTTCTCGCTTGTGCAACTCCTTTCGGAGTATATGCTTTCCCGCCAAATTTGATCGTTAAAAATTTAAATGCAATCTCAGTAGCTATCTACTATCCTACTGATTACTATTTTCTCGTTCTCGCTCCTTAGTGGCATTACTGTCTTTCAGTTCTTTCACACACATCAACCCCTTGCGTCTCTGTGGATTTAATGCCTTACTTGAGGGACCTGATTACATAGTGCGAGAAAAGAAACAGTTACCATATATATATATATATATATAAAAAGAACACTAATATTCCATGGCCATAATTTATTCCATTGGAATTGTAAATCCAATCCAATTCATCAGACCGAACTCCGGAAATATAAATAGAATTTACAGAGAGTGTAAGTATGAGAGTGTGGGACGAATGTTAGAGCTAAAGAGAGGGGTAACAGACGAGAGAAGGTGGGAGATTAAAACTTAACAGAGAAGAGTTTTAGAGAGGTGAGTTGAAGACGGTTTAAGTGAGAGAAATATGAATGTTGTCGGATGTCTAATACATTAAAGATGTAACCGGAAAGGATACATTTTGTGGTGACATACACACACAATAGACGATCTAATCTTAAAGATCAGAAGAAGAGAGAGGGAGAGGAAAAGAAAAGAAATATTATCTATCTATCTATCTATCTATCTATCTATCTATCTATCTATATATATATATATAAAAAAAAAGCATATATATATATATATATATATATATATATACATATGCTAAATGTTTCTTTATATATATATATATATATATATATATATATATATATATATAATTATGATAACTGTTTCTTTTCTCGCTTGTGGAACTTCATTCTGTCTCCATGCTTTCCAGTCAACTTTAATCTTCAAAAATATAAATGTAATGTCAATCGTTATTTACTGATTACTTTTCTACTGTACTCGGCTTGTTTGTGGTGTTTTTGTTTTGTAATTCTTCCACACCCCGTAACCCCTTGCGTCTTAGTGGCTTTAATACCTTGCTTGAGACGAACTCGATTAAAAATATAAGCGACTGCGTTTCTACAAAAAAAAAAAAAAAAAAAAAATGAAAATGCCGAACGTCCCCCTCTGAAGTCAATTCAGGCTTCGTAGAAATAAATGCTAATGGTAGCGATTATCTCAAACACGAAAATGCCGTCTCTATCCTTTTGTCGTGGAAACCGTCGATCCGGAGGGTGGGGGTTTCCACTTTATGTCCAGTAGCAGGGGGTCTAACCCGTCAGGCTGAACGAATGATATCCGGCTCACCGTCGGATAGTGTCAAAAGTGTCAAAGATCGTGCCGCTGCCGAGTTGCGAACTACAATACATCAACTGTCAATACTAGCTGACCAGAACGCACTAGTGTCCATCGGCGCCGCATGGGGTCCAGTTGCGCCGTACGTAATAGGCTGCAAGACCACGGATTTTAATGCTTGTTCTCAAAGAAAATGAATAATGA